GTAATAATCAGATCAGGGTAACTGACATATTATCACCTCAGATAGGACATTTATTTCTGTTGGTAACATTCCAAATCCTCCCTCTAGCTATTTGGAAATATTCAATCAATAGTTGTCAATATTCTGCTACACAGAGCATTATCAGTTATTCCTCCTATCCAAATGTACCATTAATATCCATTAACCATCTTCTCTCCATCTCTCCTGGCCCCATACTCTTTCCAAAGTCTGGTAACTACTATTCTGTTCTCCACTTCTTTGATATCAGCTTTTTAGCTCCTATATATAATTGAGAATGTGTGGTACTTGTCTTCCTATTCCTGACTTATGACACTTAACACAATGTCCTCCAATTCCATCCATGTTGCTACAAATGACAGAATATTATTCTTTATGAATAATCACATTCCATTGTGTATGTACACCACATTTTCTTTATTAACTCATGTGTAGATAGATGCCATTATTGATTCCTTACTAATTTTAATACTTACCATAAAGATACAGTAATCAAGACAGTGTGATATTGGTGGTAAGATAGACATAGGAATCTATGGGAAAAAAAACAGAGTCTAGAAATAGACCTGATTTAGTCAGCATGTTCTCCATTGTGACTAAAAGACCCCACCAGCACAAATGAAAAGGAGAAAAAGTTTATTTGGAGGCTCACAGTTTCAGAGGTCTTAGTCCATAGACAGCAGGCTCCATTCCCAAGGCTCAAGGCAAGGCTGAACATCAGGGTGGAAAAATGTGACAGAGGAAAATGGCTCACATGATGATCAGGTGGAGGGGGTGGTAGAGAAAGAGAGACAAACAGACAGACTGACTCCACTTGCCAGATACAAATATGTACCTTAAAGCCACACCCACAATGCCCCACCCCCTCTAACGACACCCCACTCAATCTCATCAGGTGATTGATTCACTGATTAGCTCATGGCTTTCATAACCCATTTCTTCTCTGAATCTTTTTGCATTGTCTCACACAAGCTTCTTGGGGACACCTCACAACCAAACCATAACAGACCCAGACTATTTTTTACAATAATGCCCAACTTTCTGAAGAGAAAAGCAATGTTTTCAACAAATAGTGACCATATTATTGGATTAACAAAAGAAAAAAATATCCATCCATACCTTACACCTTATGCAAATATTAACTCAAAATGTATTATAGAAATAAATGTGAGCCGGGAGCAATGGCCTATGCCTGTAATCCCAGCGTCTCAGGAGGCTGAGGTAGGAGTTCAGAGCCAGCCTCAGCAATGGCAAGGCACTAAGCAACTCAGTAAGACCCTGTTTCTAAACAAAATACAAAAGAGGGCTGGGATGTGGCTCAGGAGTCAGGCGCCCCTGAGTTCAATCAGCAGTAAAGAAAGGAAGAAGGGGCGTGGCTCTCGGCACAGACAAAGGCAGCACAGAATGCAGAGGCTTTGCTTGTGGGTCACCAGACCGAGCCCTGGATACAGCACCCCTCACCTCACCAAACATCCTACATGGGAAACAGACGGGATCCATCTTGGAAAACCTTACCCGCCATCTATCCGTGGGCATGGCTATCAGAGCAGTTCTGCGGCTGATCAGGTACCCAGTTTCCAACTCTCCTACCCACAGCTGGGATAACTCAAAATTTTTCTCACAAGCTTTTGGGGGGTGTAGCTATCAACACGGAACAGCAACTGTACAGACACCTGGTTTCAAACTCAGAGACTAAGAGTAGGGAAGCTCCAGCCCTCTCACACTGGCTACCTCTACCACCTTTAGCACAGAGACTCAAGCTAGGAATAGACAACTCCATCTACTGCAAGAAAAGGAAATAAAGTTCTGAGAGACTTTTTTTCTTTCTTACTTTTCTTTTCTTGCTCTTCTCATCCATTCTCCTCTACACTTCCCCCTCTGGTCCTCACAATCTCAACATATGTGAAGCCAAGAACTTTGCATGAAAAAGGACTTTAAGAACTGAATCACCAGAATAGTATAATATATAGAGGAATTGCATATGCCCCACCTCCCCCCCCTTTTTTTAATTTTCTTTCTCCCCCTCTCTTTTGTTTCTTTCTTTCCTTGTTATCTTTTTTCTTTTTCTTTTTTCTTCCTCCCTCTATCCCACTTTCAACCTCCTAACTTTTACTATTTATTCTTAGTGTAATTTTCTAAATACAGGGAGGAGTTTGAATTTATGCATTCTTACATAAATTACCTCCTGTCTATTCATTAGAGTTCTCCTCCGAAGTTGCTAAGTTAGATTAACCCCATACCCTATCTCCATTCCCCCTTAACATAATGTCCTATACCTGACCCTCAGTTCTCTATACGCCACCAGAAATGGTATGCCTTTTATGAAACTAATGACTATGTTCTAAATAATAATTGAAACCAACATCTGTAGACATAGAGTCTAACTATAAATGTATTAATAATGAAAATTTGCTCATAGATGATGTATTATTGATATTGGGACCTGTTAATATTGTCTTTCTCCACAAAAGAGAAATTTTTTTTGGAACTATACAAGAGCAATATAAATATATAGGGGGAAAACATTAACATAACA